AGTTGGAATTTAGTCTAGAACAGCATCATTTGGTTGGGCTACAGACAGAAAAAAAATATTTTGGAAAGTCAGGCTGAGAACTTTTCAGCATGCACTTACAATTGGTTGAGTTTGTTTAGTGGCATATCAACCTCTATGGATTATTTAATGCCAAAATCTAAATATTTTGAACACAATTTTATGGCTTCAACTAAATATATTTTGAGTGCAATTGTATGCCTTCAACTACAGATAAAATTTATTGGTCATTTTGCTACAAATCGTTGGTAATTTATTTCATACAAAAGATTTTTTGCTACAAATGTTGGTAATTTATTTTATACAAAGATGAAATGCTTGTATTTTTACTATAAAAACCATATTCTTATACTTTCAGTGTTTTGTTTCATGAGGTGGAGATCACTATTGGCCCATAACTGAGACCCTAACAGGGTCTAAGAGTTGAACTTACTAACCGATTGACAATTGATAATTTGAAGATTAATGTATTTCTATCCTCAGGCGTCATTTTTTATTACGTCACAGAAATATCATCTTAGGCTTATGAATTAGTTTGAGAAAAAAAATAAAATGAATAAAAAGGGATATAGTAAGTTATAGAGTTTAACCTGGAATTAATCAAGTGTTTCTATTCTTGTACGATTCAATTGGTGCTACCTTTGAGCCCAACTGGATTCTATTGAAAAATGGGTTTGTACCTGTAGCATGGGTAAAGTTTCATTATCTATCCCAAACTGCTAGAAACATACAATATGGGCCCCCTCTGTCTCGGTCATTTCACCGACCTGACAAATCACTTCAAACTGTGTCACAGTTCTTGTTTATATGTTGGTAGGCACAAAAACTGGGAAAGGCCTGTTGTTTAGTATTTACAAGGAAAATGAAAGGTGGGAAGGATATCATGACAGTGAGAAATGAAAACCTAGTTTCCAATATATTTTGTTATTTATTTAGGGATTCACTTTCTCAGGGGGTCAGTAGGTGACACTTGAGAAGGATTTAGACGCTGCGAAGTGGCTGAAAAATTACCAAATGTCAAATTTATCTTGGACAGAATTAATTTCAGTATTATTCTGAAGGTTTCCTTATTTTTGTTACACTTTATTGCAAATAATTAAATTCATGCAACCCTAATTTACAAGATATATTTCAAACCCCAAAGAAAGTTATTTTTAGTATACACCTACCAACCTGGTATCACTGGAATGTAGATTAAATAATTTTTGCCGCTGTATGTTTTATTCAAATCCTGCAAGTAGCTTAGAAACTGATAATTTGATAAGTCTTAAAAAACAAAATCAATCAATATTGATTTTGTTTTTTAAGACTTATCAGCCCTTTGCAGGTTATTTAAAGCCAGAAAATATTTTTAGATTGTAAGAATGTTTTTTTTGTAGATAAGTCTTACTAATTAAGCCATAGCTGTAAGAAGTTGGTTCCTACCTAGTCAGAATTTGATAGACAAGAAATTATAATGTGGATATAAATTGGGGGATTAATTTTATATCACAATCAATATATAAACTGATCCCTCACCTTTTAGTTTCTATACATTTATATTTCAGAGAATGTAAATAAATCTAAGCTGACTGTGTAGCTAATCAGCCATTCCAAAAAGGCCTGACCAGTTGTGTTTACAATTGAATCTAATATCATTTTACATAGAGGGCCACGCATTATTGAATCAGTCCAAGCAACATGACCCCACCCACCGCACGATGTAGCAGAGGCAATCTTAGAATTTAAGGATTTGTTTTGTGATATTTTTCATGATTGAATATCAAAGACATGACAATCAAGCACAGACTGATTAGTACCCAGAAAGTCTTGCAGGTTATTCTTGACTGAAGAATGAAGTAGGGGAAATAAATGAATTTAGTTCTAACGATGATTTGAACTTTGACAAGCAATGGCAGTTAGTCAAATGCCTGTATTCAGAGTAAATTTTACATTTTATTGCATTTGTTTTCTATGACCCAATAAATAAAAATATTTAAGACTGGCAAGTTATCTGACAGAGATAGATCACAAATTTGAGTTATCATAAAACTGGTAAATTTTGGGAACAAATTCAGTCTGGAAAAGATTTAATAATTCATAGGAAAGATTTGTCCATAATCAAAGACAGGTTCTAAGAATGTTGCTAAAAAGAAATTAGAATTTTATAGAAAGATATTCCAGGGAAACATTTGTGTAGTGTAGACACATCATTAAACTGATTTATGAGAGAAACTAATGTAAATAAATAAAATACAAAATGTTAATAGTAACTTAGAGTTTATTTAATTTCAATACAATTTTGTACAAGGGTCTCATAAAACTAGTAACATTACCAGTCCAAGCTTTTACTATTAAAAATAGCAGTAAAAAGCTTAGCCAACTGCACAGTGAGTAGTTATACAGTAGCTTTGAAAGGATTTTGAGTAGTAGAGTCATGATTAACTTAACATTATTCAACTAGTATTAATTGAAAAATTTAATATATATTTATAAAACAAAGTTTTAATTAATGTATTTTCTATAAAGTTGAGAAGGATCATAAATATATCCAACATTGTATAATTCTGGATGATATATTCTTAAAGTTTCAAAAGTTTAAATCATAACTAGAAGAGAGAAAAAAAATCTTTAAATATAAAATAAAAACTTAAATCAATCATGCAACTGTCATCCACAACATATCATTTTTCTTAAATATTACCATTGTTAATTAAAAAAAAAAAAAAAAAAAAATTAGAGCTTCCAATCCATGTAAAGCTAATTATAATGCTGTAAAGATTATTCATTCTGCTTTCTAAAAAGACTAAATATATGAGTATAAGATGGAAAAAGGCACTTTTTTTATGAGGTCAAGAGAAGTAAACTAGGGAATGTACATAAGAACAGGATCAATGTCATACTTGAAGTTTGTGCATAAAAATATTATCTTTCAAGACGATACCGACAGTAAAACAAGCAAAATACCTTTTTCAAGAATTTTTATGCAAAAACTGTATCAAATGCTTTTACGACACTTCAGATAACCCAGAATACAAAAGATTAAATGAGAGAATAAGAGGGTTAATACTGCTTTGTTACAAACATAACCTCATTGTCCAACTTGCACAGTTATGCCTAAGTTTTGTAGGATTTGATTTAACTGATTTGCTTTTTACAGCTTATCAACCTCATAAGTTTTGTAATATATTTGCAGGCTGTTAGGTTAGGAAATAAGATAAATATAAAAATATATACTGATATTTGTACCATGCCTCATATTGCAAATATACCATTTTTAAAAATTAATAACATTAATTTCCACTTATAAATATAAAAAAATAAAATCTATATATGATAGAGCAAGTAGATAATTTAATCCAGATGGGTTAAAATGAAGTGCACAGTAAAGAAGGTATTTGTTTTATTCCTTTTAACTTCCTGTTAATACTTCATTATGTATGTATGTATGTATGTATGTATGTGTATTTTGCGAGAGTGGACACATTGAGGTCCAAACAGAATAGTTTTATGCTAACAAATTTTCAGGCTTGAAGATTGCATTCAAGCATGAAACAGATTGTCACCATTGTGTTCCCACTCATACTTACACATTCTCTATCCTGTATATTGAATACTTTTAGGCATAAATATAGCATAGCTTAAAGCTTTATTATATATATATATATATATATATATATATATGTGTGTGTGTGTGTGTGTGTGTGTATATATATAACCTAATCATGGCATCAAAATTAAACATGGTATTAAAAAAAGATAGTTGTTTTAAGAATTATGTGAACAATCAAATTCATTCTTTGTGTTATTAATATTCTCCCAACATTTGGTCCAATAGATTCTATTCTTTTATAGAAAGAGGTTTTCTTTTTCAGGTCATGCAAAGCAGAAAATGGTAGCAAACAGAAAATTTTAAATATTCATGATATCACTTGTAATATAAGTCATTCTATTTTCAGAAACTTGTACAGTGCATAATCCATAATTTATATGCAAGGGTGGTTTCCATTCTTTTCTTTGTTAAACAAAGAAAGGAACTGACTTTCATTGCTCAACAGGGACATGACATAGAATTCTTTGCTTAATGAAAGGAATTGAGAACATTCTGGAATAAGCTGTAATGCTGTATGCTAGTGAAAATAAATCAACATATTACAAGCATTGTTGCAAATGTTTAGAAGTTCCTGTTTGCTGCTATTTTCTGCTTTGCAATATTGAAAAAAAATACAAAGACGAAAAAGATTCTTATAAATATACTATTTGAATCTATTTCGGGGGAGGGGGAACCCAAATAACTTATACAGCACAGTTTTATAATAAACAAATTTAACCTTGAGAATTTACTAAAAATTTGCTTTAAATTCAGATTAAAGAATTAACTGAATTTAACTTAACATTATTGTATTATATAAGGGATTTTGTGAGGCAAGTTCTCCAATATGTAATGGACTTCATGATAAATTATTACCATGAAATACTATAGGTTGGCTTAAAATCTATATTTAGTTGGAACAAAATATACCATTTTTATAAAACATCTGAAAAGAAAAACAATAATAATAAAGCAACCTTTCAATGCACATGCATTTTGTATTAATTAACATAATGCTCAGGTCGTTTGTTACTAGCACAGAATTTATCTGCCCTTATTATTACATAGAAATATGGAGAAGCAACAGTTCTCTGAATTATTTGCTTCCATTTTATAAGAGTTTGTGTGAAGTGCCCTAACAAGGAAAAAAAAAAAAAAAAAAAAAAAATCCTTCCGCCATTTTCAGTGTTTGTTGTTTTTTTTATTCTTTTCCTTGTTGGAAAAGAAGTTGCATTAAAAGGGACAAAAAAAAAAAAAAAAAAAAATTCTCCCCTTCCATACTCATATTACAAACCCTTTGTCCAACCCAAAGCAGTCATGCAAAAGGGAGGAGGATATATATATATATATATATATATATATGGATTAAAAAAAAAAAAAAAAAAAAAAAGGGGGTGGGGCTTTGATCCATTTAAGCACATTGTCCATCTTCTCGATTTCGGAAGAATCCATTTTCCGTGGCACATTCTCGAACAGTCACAGTAACCATGTTGGAAGTAACGTCTGTAATAAATACCTGGTCAAGGAGGGGCTTTACATTTGGGGGTGGACACCAATATGTACGCCTTTCAGGGGCACTGGTTTTGTTTTCAGTGTCTGTGCTGTATTCAAGTCCCTCAAAATTGTCGCGAGCAAAAGAAATGCATTTATTTTTGTCAGTGTGCCGACTGGCCGGTACTTCCTCGTGGCCATCCTGCAGCTGACTTAACACAGCCCTTGACTCGGTCTCTTTGTTTTTACCGTCTTTGCCACTCTGGCCATTGAGACTTGATGGTGTACCCTTGCTGTGTTTCCTCATACCATGACCTACATTGCCAGTTGACTTAATCACTGAAGAAGGTCGAGTTGTAGGCAAGGATTTGGTAGTTGGAGGGGTTGAAACTCCTAACAACGGTCTGTTTTTAGGGGGTCGGCCTGGCCCTCTTTTTATGGGCATGTGTACTTGTAGAGGAGTGCTGTGGGGATTAGAGCTACCCACAATGCTGCTGGGTCGATCATTATTTTTACTCCGTTGAATGTTGCTTTCATTTACTTTCTCATCTAGACTTTTAGTTGATGACCGCTCTTTCCGGTTCGGATCATTTTGAGGAGTTGAAAGGCCCCGGAAACCAGATTCCCGAGGCCGATATTTACTAGATGTGCCTTCTCCACATGACGATGAAGCTGGTGTTGTTGTTGTTGTGGTCGATGAGGAAGAAGTACCACTGGGATTTTGTTCAAGATGACTGACAGCTTTTCGTCGACAAGGCGGACTTTCCATTTCCATGTCTGACCCATCCCCTGTGTCATCTGTGGCTGAATCCTACAGTTAAAATAAATAAATAAATGTATATAATAATGAACCAGTATTATTATTATTATTTTTTTTTTTTTTTAAATCAGTCATTTGGCTAATACAAATTTGAAGCATATACATTTCAATTTAAAGATGTCATTCAAATTTTTTTTTTTTTTTTTTACAAATATATCAGGTTAAATAGTGGAGATACACGTTTTTTTTTCTCTTCTATCCTTACCAGTTAAATATTTTTTTTTTTTTTTTAAGCGTTTCACCCCAAGCAAGGTGGTTACAGATGATTTGGAGCAAGATCAGATAGGAGTGATAGAGGAAAGGATGAGGAGAAAGATAGTAGATAGACCAAGGCAACTGGAGATGTCAATTACTCATATGGACTTTATCTGGACAAAGTTTTCTATGCTTTCTAAAGGGAACTCATAATACAATAGTTTTTTTTAACCTTTTTTTTTTCACAGGATGTTTCACTACTTGTGATGGAACCTAATAGTACTTGACAATCATACATCATCTTATTCACCTGTCCTATATTCTACCAAGAATTTTGATGCTATCATTAAAGAGCTATTTAAAAATGCTTTTTTAGATTTGTTTAAAAAGAACATTTGAATTCTGAACAGCATTTCAGATACACAAATAAGTCCTTAGCCAAATAATGATAAAATCAATGTACTTAGTTCAAGGGTGACCAATCATTAAAATTAAAAATTATACAATGAAAACTTAAGATCAAAATTTAGTTAATTACAGGCCAGGCTGTTGACTTATTGATGAAGTTTTAGAGGATTAAAAAAAAAAAAAAAAAAAAAAAAAAAATTGTAGTGGGGAAATAAATAAATGTTCAGAAACTTCCTTTACTTATTTGGCACATTTCTATATTTATAAACTTCGAAAACTTATTTAATGAGGTTCATCTAAGAATAAAAATATATCAACAATAAAAATTTACAATGTTTTCCATAAAACTTTTCCAATATAAAATTATAGGTAGCAGATCAGAATGAATTCAAATATTTTATTGGTTTTTCATAAACATCTTGTTTGGAGATGAACAAGAAAAAAAGAAAAGCAGATGCAGTCAATAAGATATTTTGTAAGAAACTATTTCAGTTTGTTATTTTTGGCTGACTTTAGTATTTAATTAATCTTTATTGCAAATGTATTAAATTCAGCTGTTTAAAATTTCATATAAGATTTAAATGATCATAAATTTGTGTTACAGTCGTAAAGATACAAAAAATATCAGATTGGATGCAAGACTGAGCATAATTTTGAATTTCACTCAAAATTATTTTTTTTATGACATTGAAAGATAAATAGCTAAATATTGGAGAAAAAAAAAAAAAAAAATTAAGATGTTTAGAAAATTTCAGATTTGATTAAAGAATCAGTGAAAAACCATAACCCTCTTTTTTTTCTTTTTTTAAAAACTTTCACATGGACACAAACTATTACTCTAAATTTGAAATGAATCAGCCAGTGACGTTTTCCCCAGTATTTATTAACATTTCCTTGCTTTAAGTACCATTAAATTGGCCTATGTTTATTTTTTTGCTGTAATGTAGGCATCTTAGTGGAGGTGCAGATAGTGTAATGATTATCAGCATAGAAAGTGAGTGTGGCATGTAGAGTTCAAATCCTACTCAATTTTGCTTTGTGCTAATACCTTTGGAAAAGGCCTGAATCTATCTTCTTTCAACTATGGGTTGAGAAGGAAAAAAGTGAAACCAGTCTTAAGACACTGCATCAGACTATCTTGCTCTAGACACACCACTGCTACTATGGCTGCAGCACATGTAGTGCCCTTACAACCCTAATGGGTTACAGGATTTATTTATATGACAGTGTATGCAATCAAAACAATCTCTGGATCCAGCTAATTCTGCTAGCATACAAACATTCGCCGCTACCATAGATTGGCCAACACACAGTACAACAAAATAAGCACATCTTCAGTGAAGCAAATTAAAAACAGATGCATGTTTTATACAGTCTTAAATAAAAACAACCATGCAATGGATGAATGTGAACAACAGAGACAATGTGCAACATGCCACAAGATGCGCATGGGCATTTTGTGGCAGGGAACAAGTTAAGACTAACTTTGAGGCCTAGTACTATTCAAGGTTTTTAGGCATGCAAATAAAACTTAAATCCTTAAAGGTAAAGAGTAAAGCATTTTAAAGAAGTGTCTGAAATTTCTGTGAGCCATTATGAAAATGTAAAAGATTTGGTTTGAATTGCCTTATGATTTTGCTCATTTATGAGCAAGAATAGATTTGTTGGATAACAGCTTTAGATTTACAGATAAAAGAAATGTTTATCAAGGTACAATTCCTTAGAAAATTTATTTCATCTGAATTTTACTGTAGAACAAAGACAATATATGCATAATCTTATTCTGATCAGGTTCATTACTTTAACTTACAAGAAAATACCCTTGGGAAAGGTAATAATCCATCTTCACCCTCCAGCTATGGGTTACATAGTAATAGTTGTATCAGGAAAAATTGTTAATGCAATAATCACTTAAAAAAAAAAAAAAAATCTTACAATCCCAATGAGGTTTTGGCTTTAAATAAACCACGAGAGGTTGATAAACCATAAAAAAAACAAAAAAACAAACAAAGAGACAAATCAATCACAGATACTTAACTCCCAAAACAAGAATAAATAAAAAACCTCTAAGAAAATAATTTGAATTAAAATGACTTTATAGAAGATAAAACAAAATTTATTATATAACTCTAAGTATTATTTATAGTGGATATATGTGTTTGAATAGAAGCCTTGTTTGTATTAGTATGAATTATGTCTACTGGCCTGCACATTCACAAAACTTAAAAGAAAATATGCTCCTTCCTTTGTAGAGGAAAAAAAAAAGATCCATTGTGCTTTAGACTGCTCAGCTATGTAGAGCTTTTATTAAGCCTTTTGAATGTGCAGGTCAGTAGAAGTAATTAACAGATGTATAAATAATGTTTGGAGCAGGGGTTCTCAAACTTGCCCCATGCACCCCTTTCATCATTTGTCAGAATGCCATTCTCCCCTCCTTTTCAAGGTCACAGGCCAGATAGGCCAAATTTTATAATTGCTCTCATTCCTCCCCTTAAACTTACTTTGGTCACAATTCACCCCTGGGGGGTGAATTTCACCTCTGGTTTAGAGTAATAATTAATTTTTACAAAATTAAAATAAAATCTATTAATTACTTTCCGTGCAATATAAGTTTCATTAAAGATGACCGACAAGGAACTGCAATTAGGCTTTTTATTCAATTTTTCTTGCATTCGTACAAGCGTTTTACTTTTCTGGACATAAAGTATGTAAAAACTGTCCGATTCTGATTCTCTCTCTCATATATATAACGAGAGAGCACGCGTGCTTTCAGCTATTCTACTAGCCATTATTGAAGATGTTTTTTTTTTATTTTTAACTGAAAAACCTTGGTAATGGCTAAGAGAATACCTAAAAACACTGATTGATATAAAGAACAGTTTTTACATGTCTAGAAAAAAAAAAAAAAAACTTAAACTTATACAAACACAAGAAAAATTGAAATAAAAGCTTAATCGCAGTACCTTTTCATGTGTTTGATGAAACTTGTATAAAAGAGGGACTGATGCCCAAATACTATATATATATATATATATATATATATATATATATATATGTGTGTGTGTGTGTGTGTGTGTGTGTGTGTTTAACACATCTACAAGGTTTATACCCATATGTTGAAACAGCAGTTCTCATATGATCACTTAAGCAACATCAAGACTGGTCAGTACCTAGATGGGTGATTTCTTGTGAAAAACAGATAATGTAAGCTTGTATGTGTGGGTAGTGTAATAACAGGTTGGAATTGGAAACTGGAAAGACAATATATTCACTTACATGTAAATACCCTTGGGAAAGGAATGAATCCACCTCATCTACCCCCAGCTATCGGTTAATGAGTAGAATTTGTATCAGTAGAAAAAAACAAACAAACATTCTTATCACCATAATAAATTCTTACAATCTAAAAATATGTTCTAGCTTTAAATATCCTGCAAACAGTTTTTCATTATAATTAAAACATAAAATATAGTGGTCATCTTTTGGTGACAAGTAAACTAGTTCATAAATTTATATAAATTAATAAGTTATTTATATTGAGACATTTTTAATTTTAAGAAGGTATTCACAAAATTATAATCAATAAAATGGATAAATTCACCAACTTAGTGCTAAAAATCTGATTTAGGATTTTCCAAACTTAAGTATGAAGGCTAAAAATAAAATACTCTTTATAGATGATGCATTTGATTCTATATCAACAAAAGTAAAAAAAAAAAAAAAAAAAAAAAAAAAACTCCCTTTATCTAGTATTGTAAGTAATCGAAGCAATCTGAAGACAATTATCTTTTGTCAATAAAGCTGACAAGAGAAAAGTAATTTTATAATGCAAAAATCTTTTAAGTTAATTTTCTCTAATTCTGACAAGCAAGACAATATAATTATTGATACAAATTTAGAATGAAATTGAAAAACAAAAATCATTTTCTTTGTAGCAAGAAAGAAAAAATATTCAATTTTTAACATGAATGTTTGAGTGGTAACAACAATGGGGGCGGGGGAGGAGAGAGCAATTTAAAATGATTATTTTAAATTGAACAAAGTGAATTTAGTAAAATGTGTTTTAATGTTCAGTATTTGAGCACTATAATGACTAAAATATTGATTTTTACAAGATAAAATTTGTTAAAATGGTTAAATGTCTATATTGATTTGGGTGAAATGTTTGTTCACTTAAGTAGAAAATTTAATGAAGTAAGACATTTTGGCCAACTTTCTAAGAAAATCTTGCAGTTTACTCCCAAATAAACAAATGTCATTCAATCTTTTTCATTTGAAAAAAGTTATTAGAATTAAAATAACAACTGATGCAATTGTGCTAATTTACAGAAATTATTTTGTATCTTGACAGATTGATATATTCATGAAGTTTATGAAAATTTTGATTTCCCTCTAGTGAATATAACTTTGCAGTTCATCAACAGTGGTGGACTGGCCAGTGTGTCAAGCTTGGCCCCCCCCCCCATATCAAAATAAAAAATAAACAAACAAAAGCAGACAACCGTTTTAGTAATAAAAACTATAAAGTCATCCGCACACTATCAGTTACTCAAGTCAAATGTGAGGACATTTTCAAGATTGAAATTCTCTTCAAAAAATGATTAAAAGAAATTTGCTGTCTGAAGGGAGTTTGGAATCATACATGTTCTTCTCAATTGAAAAGGAATTGTTAGATGAATTGGATGCAGAAGCAATTATTGGCAGATTCACACAGACATATAGTGAACAAAAATGATTGCTCTTAATATAGTGGACTGCATACAATAACTATGTGTTAATGTGTAAATTGTGCAGTAAATTAAAGATATCCAAAAATTTGAAAAAAAAAGAAATTCAATCATAACATGCTGTATTTACACTTAGTATCTACTGCCAGTAATATGTACAGTATGTGTACACAAGAAATAAACATTTTTCCATAAAAAAATTAAATGTACTCATATGTATTTTTATGAAAATTAAACGATAGTATTGTAGTTGTGGATCAGTCCCATTTGTCTCCTGGCAATTAATATCTTTAACCCTAGTGCACTACTGTTCATCATTGTAATATTTGTAAGTTTTACTTAGAAAGTTGATTGTCTGGTTTAACCAATTGCAGGTTATTTAAAACCAGAAAATATATTTTGGATTTTAAGAATATATTTTTTTTGGAGATAATGATTTAGAGACAACTAATTATCCCATGGGGAAGAAGAGATGGATTCATACCTTTCCCAAAAGTATTTGTGCATGTGAATATAACGAACCCAACTGGAATCAGAACTTGGCTCTCGGATTAAGAATTCCAAGCCATTATCCATTACACCACTCTCACATTCAAGCTTACAACACCCGGTATTCTCAAACAGTCACCTATCTAGTTACTGACCATTCCCGATATCATACGAGAACCAGGGTTTCAATGTGATATGGCTTGAAAAGTAAAATTTAAAAAAATAAATAAAAATAACATGCACACATAACCTAAGAATTTCTGATTAAACAGTAATCAATATTTACATAATCTTTTGATCAATTGAGTATTAATTTTATTTAGTAAATGTTTTTTTTAGCAAGAAAAGTTTTTTAAATGAATTGGTTCAATGAAAATAAATTTCAGATAAAGTTAATTTAAAAAAAAAAAAAAAAAAAAAAAAAAAAAGAAAAAAAGAAGCAAGCTATAGAATACTTTTATTTAAATTTAGGATTTTTCATTTTAAGTTTTTAAGTCATTGAATATTTGAGATTTTAAAATTATTAATGCTGTATATTATCTTTTCTGTGATAGTACAAATGATTAGGTATGTACTAAAATTTCCCAGTATTTCAGTTTTGCACATGCATACTTACAATATGTTACATTTTTATAAAAGCATTTTGTTTTGTTGTTTAAATTTTAAAACTTAATTATTGACAGAGGGACAATATTTTCAAACTAAAAAAAATCCTGTTATCAATTAATTTGTATTATTTTTATTAGAGTTTATGTATTTGTTCAACACAGCATTAATGTTTTACATTCAAATAAAGAAAATATTTTTCTTTAAATTCAATAAAACATTCAGAAATCTAAAGTTTACAAAAGTCAATCATTTAAAAAGTAAATTATTTGGGATACGTCAATAAGTTACAAACTTTTCAAATTTTTTTTTTTTTTTTTTTAAGAATAAGATTAATTTCAGATATTGTGTGCTAAAATTTAGATCATAATAATTTTAGAATTAAAGTCCTGGACAATTTTCGTATTTAAAAAAAAAAAGACCAAAAAACAAAAAAGCAGTGGAGGATAGAAGGGCAATAAAATACAATTTTTCTTTATTATTTCAATTATTCATGGATCATTTTAAACAGATTCTTAATATTAAAATAAGTACGACAGTTATTTAATTTGTTAGGAAAGGGTATTTCGTGAAATACGAATTCCGGTACAAAACTGATTTTGTTTACATTTCATGTACTATAAAAAAAGAAAAGAAAAAGATTTACAACACATGAATTATCTTTAATAATTTAACATAGGATTTATTAAAAGTAAGTTTGTTTTTTTTTAAATCCCACAAAATTTATTTCGGTGCAGTTTGTAATCTTTATGAAACTCTTAAAAAAAATAAGTGATCATAAGTCGTTGTTTGTCACGTTCAGAATACAGAATTTTGAATTAATATTCAAATTTTTTCAGAACGTGACAATTTATAAATTAAATAATAAAAACAAAAAAAATTCATTGTTGTCCAATGCTTTTTTTTTTTTTAGCCACAACAAATTTAGTTTATTGATGCATAAAAGGTGAAATAATGAAGTCTTGTACGAAAGATTTTATTTTTAATTAATAAAAACAAAATATTTTTTTATAATGGCAAAAAAAAAAAAAAAAAAAAAAAAAATTAATTTGCTTTTTAACCTACGATTACAGAACTTAACTACAATCGACATTTTAAAATTTAAACACTGCTTTTTTAAAACTTTTTCTCGTTTCACACACACACACAAAAAAAAAATAAAATAAAAAGAAATAATCGTAATATAAAACAAAAACACATTAAAATATTTCTTTCAATAGAAAATTAAGAAAATTAAACTAAAAATCCATAACATTTTTAAAACCTTTCTCGAAAACGACAAATTTCACGAAAGAAAACATGACAATAATCAAACATTTGTAAATTTATGAATAAATATAAAAACATGTACAAAAAATTTTTAAAAAATAATTTAAAAAAAATAATTTTTACCTGCAATTTTACTTTCTTAGGTTTAGGTCCTTTCTTATGTGGAAGCACATCTTTATCGCCTTGACTAAAACAAAAACAGAATTTACTTTAAATACGAAATAAAATAACGATAATAAATTGGATATTAATGCAAAGATTATTTACAATATTAAAATGGGAAAATTTAAGCCAGAAAATATTTATCCAAAGAACCATTTAGAAATTTCAGAAAAAAAAATGACCCCAAACAATAATTTCATTTTTGGGGAGTATTTCCAAATATTTATGAGGTTTTAACCAAAATAGTTGACATTTTTGTTTTCGTAAGACAAATATGCATTATTATTATTTTTAAAAAGCAAATATATCGGACTTTAGAGTTAAAAAAAATAAAAGCAAGAAAGAAAGTAGGTTTTATTTTATTTTTGTGTTATACAAACGAAGAAATGATTTTTAAAAGGGTTAGAGAGTGAAAGAGGAAGTTTTTTTTTTAAACGTAAACGAAAAAGAAAATAATGAACGGTAGTGGTCTTTTCATGTTTTGTAGTAAAGAAAAAAAGTGACTATTGCATCAAACAAGCAGGAAATAATTAGAAATTATTAATAATTTAAATAAAACAAATAAAAGCACGTCTTATGTGTGTGTGTGTCTCTCTCTCTCCTTGGAGGAGGAAAACGAATAGACAACTTGGCTAACATCGCCATGACACCCTCAGATTAGACACACACAACACTCTGATGCCAAAACAGAAAAGATGATCACGGTGATAACAGTAAGTATGATAATAATAAGAATAATAAAAAGGATACAGAATCATGTAATAAATAACAATACCTGTTCTTGAAGGCTTCGATCAATCGCGAATCTAAAATATTTTCTTCTGGTTCCCATGTATTGTACCTAAAAACAAACATGACCGAAAGAGATATTAATAATATAGATACATCTCTCTCTCTCGGATTATTATTATTATTATTATTATATTATTATTAAAGGTTCACATATAATAAACAAGCCTTCATGTGATGAAAATTAACTTTAAAAATAAGAAATTATAAACTAGGGGGATCGAATGTTGAAGGCTTTCTATTGGAAAATGAACCCCCACTTTGTGATTACTGAGGTTGAAAATCTATATATCCAGCCCAAATAAATAAAAACAAGTTAGTTTTTGTTTTTAAATACAGGAACAGAACAAATAATAAAAAAATATATATTCAAATAATAAATCGGGAAAAATAAGCAAGAACCCCAAAATTAAAATAATGCAACAGTAAAAAAACTGAATAATTGCCAAAATAATTCAAAAATAATTAAAATAATAAATTATTAAATACATACCTTGGGGACCATCCCTTCCATTTAACGTAAAATTCAACTTTGCCCTGAAATAAACAAAATCCCCCAAAATATTTAATTTAAAAAAAAAAAAAAAAAAAAAATAGTTAAGAAGCAAATAATAAATACACAACAAAAATAACATTGTTGTATGTAATAATAAATATAGAGACATATTTAAAATGTTTTTTATCCTAAATAAAGAACGAGAAAAAAGATAAGCAATGAAGAGATCGATAAATAATTAACCTTATTTCTATATAAAATATATATTATATATATATTAATAATAATAAAGAAACAAACGGAAATATTTTGGTAAAAAGTATTATTGAAAGTGAGAGGAATCTGGCGCGATTTGCTGTTTATGGCCGATAAGTGGTCGACAAGAAGAGAAAAGCTATAATCAAAAACTGTCTTTTCAATAACCGTGTTATTCAATAAAAACAAATTCATGACTATATTTAATATCAGGGCATTTAGTTGGAAGTAAATCTTTAAAAATTATATATCTTACAAGCACACGATTTTCTCAAGACAAATGTAGGAAACAAACAAAAAAATATCAGCCACATTTTATTACATAGTAGTCTTAATAAATACGGTAGGTGTGGATCGAAGCAACAAATATCAATCTATAGATTATACAAGGAGTGAAATTATACAATATTGTGGTTTTAAATAATATATTTCTTAAACTGAAATTTAGATGCAACCATCTATGATTGTTTTTTTTTTAAATCTGAAGCAAGAGTTTAAAATAAATATTGCATTTTTAGCGGAGGAAATTGTGGCGTGTACAAATTATTAATTGCTAGAAATGAAGATCGCTGATAAAATTATTTAATCTTGTTTTCATTTTCTTTTAATTATTTTAAAGCATGAAATTCAATATTTATTCATTAATATTTTGCATCTGATCACAAAAACAAGAGTTTTAAATGCTAGAGAAAATAAAGACATGTATTACTCCATAGGTGTATGTGTCTGTTATGCAAAAATACGAATTGCAAGGGAACAGTAGTATATATAGATAGATCTTCTTAATTTAAATAAATCAAGATATAAAAGTATACATGCTTTAAATTATTTAACAAAAGAATAGGTAAAAAAGTAGACATAACAGACAGTTTTTTTTAATAAAGCACAAGTTTTTAGATACTGGCTTGAAACGAGCAAAATGCGTGTGTGCAACTCAAGGAAGGAAAGACTGACAAGTAAGAGGCGAGGCGGCATTTTTTCGTTTTGTAAAAGGCCAGTGATATTTTGAGGATCGCTTTACCCAGTTAAATCGGGGTGGAACATCGGTTTTAACCGTTCCACAAGGGTCTACGTGTCTAGACGATTCAGAATCGGTCATAGTTTGGGATGTAAGGACGTTTCTTACCTTGCGTATACGTCTTTTTTGAATGCGTTCGGCGGCGAAAACTCTCTCACCCATGTCTTGTAGTTCCATTTGTTAAGGAGGCCAAGATCCGAATGAGGAGAGGCAGGCAAAAGCAAGGCGCTTATTTGCGAAATAAAAAAAAAAAAAGAAAAAAGAAAGAAAAATAAGGGGAAAAAAAGAGATAAAAAAAGAAAGAAAAAAGAAAAACTAACTTGCCTTGGTTTTTTTTTTTAACTAAGAGATAAAAAGAGAAAATCTATTGCAGCAGTAGCTTTATTTTTACTACTACTGCTGCTCTTTCCTTTTTCATTTTCCCATTCTTTATTATTATTATCATCATCATTATTATTATTATTATTATTAAATGTTGTAGTATTGCTACTGACTGCCATTGCCTTAATAGACACTGAACGGGGAGGGGAGAATTTAAAGAGAAAGCTACACAGAGTGAGGGGCGAAGGGGAGGAAGTAGATCAGTGAGAGAGGAGGCTGAAGAGAGAGAGAGTCAATAAAAGGGAAGTTGGAATGTAGATAACCACAACAACAACAATAAGTGCAAAAAAAAAAAAATAGAAAAAGAAAACGGCAATGATTACAAGAGAAGTCGAGGGAAAACTTACTATCGAGTCATCTCTTAGCTTTCTGAGATTTCACACACACACACACACACGTACATGCAAGATGTATAACAACACAAGGTTTTAAGCTTTTTTATGCATAACGGATATACATGACTTACATATATACATGACATGTAAGTGTGTATACAGAGGGTATGCATGCGTTTTTAGTTTACCCATTTTTAAACAATATGCCACATAAAAAACGTTTGTCGCGTACGCATTTAAGTTAACACACGTTTGGGTTTTATGCACAAAGCTACAAAGCACATACTCTCAGAAGGGGTGGGGGTATTTTGCATGTCTTATTATTATGATTATCATTATTATTATTATTTACACTCCACGAGTCATGGACACAAATTAGAGACACGAAATTGTTTACTTTAACTCTGTACTACAGAAATGCATAAATGACATTATTTCACATAAACGGCCTCTCTCTCTTTTTTCCTTTCTTTCTTTCTTTATATATATATATATATATATATATATATATATATATGTGTGTGTGTGTGTGTGTGTGTGTGTGTGTGTGTGTGTGTGTGTATGTAAATTAGAAAAACGTAAGAAATATGATATATCATCTCTATATTTCAGATAAATGGTGGGTAATTGAATGACAAAAATTGCAAAATTCTATGTAATGCGTTTCGTCCTTCAAATGGATTTCATCAAACTGTTAGTACTGATGGAATTATGTAGGGGTAAAAATTAGTATCTACAACATCTGATGATAATCTCTATAATATCGTATGACGACTTATAAGTTGACCCCTAAAAATTGTTTTAATTCGTCGGATAAGTCACATTTTTGCTACTTTCTGATTGAAGCCGTACGTCTTTCATCAAAGTTTTGATGACTTATTGATTAATACAACGAATTTTAGGAGATTTTTTTAATGGTGAAAAAGTCGACTTATATGCCGGCAATTGCCGTAATTCATTGGAGTATTTGAAATTTTTTTTTTCATTTTGCTTATATATATATATATATATATATATATATTTACACACAGAAAGAGATAGAAAGATGACCTGAAGATTTCGTTCATGCATGAAACAGACTGTTGTCATTCGGTGTTGACCTCTGTGTACAATTTCATATTTACACGCGCCCTATCCCTGATATTAAACACTTTTATCCATAAATATACTATAGCTTAAAACTATATTTTCATGATATACATATATGTGTGTGTGTAATGATGATTGCGTCTAGCATCAAACAGTTTGTCGCCTTTGAGTGTTAACTTCAATGTTCACTTCTATATATATATATATATATATATATATATATATATATATATTATATATATATATATATACACACACATAAATATATATATATATATATATATATATATATATATATATATATATATATATATATATATATATTATAATAAAAAAGAAAAACAGTAAGATATATAATCCGGTGTTCTTTTTGATATTTTTTATTTTTACAAAACAGTGCCCAATGTAAATTTACAGAGCATAAATATTATAAATTAACTGATTTAAAAATATGGTTTCTTCGCTACACACATATTTTAAATCAGTTAATTTATATATATATATATATATATATATATATATATATATCCTGTTAATTTTAATTTGTGCATTTCTGAGGATTTTATTCTGTTTATACCTACTTACCTATTTGTTACACTATATCCACGTCGGTACATTAAGAAGATCGTAACCTAATGATGAAAAATAGTATTTATTCTGAACAACGGAATTTTTTTTCAACTTAATCTCCTTCCTTGTCAATGCACTTAATTTAGTAATGTTTTAATCACCCAGACAGTATGAAGATAGAATTCACGTACAGTGAAATTTTCAACAAATATCTACGTGTCAGGACACAGACTTACTGATCCACTCTCGTATCTATCATTGACATTCTACTATCTAGATAGAGCCCAGAAATAGTACCTCAGAACTAATTTTTTTCACTCATGACAGTGACACGTATTAATATACGATTACGAATCACTGATTACGCATATGCATCTATTGGTATAATTGTGTGCGCGTGTGTGTGTATGTGTGTGCATGCGTATGTTAAAGACTAAAGGTCGAAGTGCACTTAAAGACTATTGTCAGAAGAGTCGGGCGAGTACATGTAAGAAAAGTACTGAACGAATGTCCTGATAGATATCTTTAGTGACAATTCTTCATTTGCATATTAGAGACTGTTTCTCATCTTTCATATTATCACCGAGAGGGTATCTGCAAGTGTAAAGACATTAGCATGGTCGTCATCAACATTTAAATGGTCAGAAAATTATATGATGTCGCCATTAAACTTTTTTTAAAAGTCATTTTCAGGCTTGTTAATGTCCGCGGACTGCAGGAAAAGACCCGTTAGTTCTTGTTCATACGTGCATGACACAGGAACATGCTTTTTAAAATTTAGGGTGTCAAATTCTTGTAAGGAAACAGAAATTTGGGAAGGGAACGTAATGTTTTAAAATAAAACTGATGGTACTTTTTTTTTTTTTTTTTTAAAGACCTAGAATTAAGGGGTGTAGTGTTGAACCCTTTAAATTAAATTGCCCGAGACTGTTATTTCAGTAAAAATGATAACCTTTATGCCATGGTATTTTAATTTTGTCAGCAACTGCATGAAAAATATGGTTAATAAAGTGTAATCTTGAAAGATTTTCAAAATGTCATTTGAATTGAAGTAATACACGTCGAAATAATTTTATTTTTACTGGAGCACATAAAAATTTGGTTTGCTAAAAAGAGGGATTTTAAAACTCTTTAAGATAAGGGAGTTATTTTTATTTTTTATTTTTTTCAAACAGTGAAAAATTAAAATTAAATTATTGTCGCAGATCTAAATAAATGTTTAGTGCATGAAGGACTGCTGAAAGGTTTCGGCCTTACAAAGTTCTAAAATAAAATTCTATTAGTCAAATTATAAGTACATTAGGCCAATAATTTTTCAGCATTTTTCATATATATATATATATATATATATATATATAGGTAAATAGATAGATAACCAAAAATAATATAAATGTTTGATATGAAATACCCGAAAAAGTATAGAAGATGGAAAACCAGTTGCATGTTTAATTTTTTTTTATTTCTTTCTTAACATTTCACTCTGTACAAGCATTCTCAAAACAACTGAAAAAAATCTAAGGAAAAATAGTTACTAAAGCAATTCAATTACTTTATGTAAAAAAAAAAAAAATTAACAGTTAATAACATTTTAAAATAGATATTCGTGAAGTAATCAATGACAGTTGTATATTAGAAATATGTTACAAAATACATTTTATTTTAACACATTTTTTTCAAATTAACCACAGCGTTTTTAATTGATAAGGTTTCTTTAAATTTTTCAGTTTTGTAGAGAGCGAACCGATAACGAGGAAATAAGGAAAAAATTAAAAATCCATTGTTTTCATGAATTTCATCTTACATATTATAAACAGAAAAGGTATATCATTTTTATTTTTAAAATATCTTAATTTCTACATGTCAAAATTATATTTTAATAACATTATTTTCGTGCGATCATCGAAGTTAAGCAACGTCGATTCAGTACCTAGATGGGTGACCGCTTGGTAATACCAAGTGCGGTAAACTTGGATGTGTGGGTGGTGTAATGGATAACGAATCGAAATTCGAAATCGGAGATCTAAGTCCCAATTTCAATTGGTTTCGTTATATCCCCTTACGCGCAAATACCCTTTGGGTAATAATGTATGATTCTATCTACCCCGTCTCCCTCTAGCTATGAGTTATTTAGGAATTGTATCAGTAATTCATTATTATCTCCAAAAACTTCTTACAATCTAAAAATAATCTCTTAAACAAGACGCAAAAAGTTTATAATCCGTAAAAAAACAAATCAATCAAATACAACCAAAAATTATTGATTTTGTTTTAGATTAAAAAGTTTACGTAATTTATTGCTATTATTGCGATTTTGAATATTCGAGATTTCTTGCTATTTGGAACATCCTGTTCATCATCGTTGCTAGATGTACAACGTTTCAGTCGTTGTACCCTCCAGTTGTCGTCTGTCGTTGTACACGGAATTTTCATCCTTTGATCAATCTACGTGCTACGGAAGTAGATTTTTCTCATTCCATTTTTCATTCTTAGGGGATAATAATTCATTAATACTCACCAGTCTTATCCACGTTTTTGTTTTCTGTCCGTTTAGGATGTGAGGATTTGTAATGGATAACGACTTGAGATAAAAAATCGGAAGACAAATTCGAATTTCAAATGAGTTTTCGTTACATTCACTTACGCGCAAAAATACCTTTGAGAACAGGTATGAATCCATCTTATCTCACGAGGTATAGGTTAAATTAAAATAGTACAACTTGTATAGTGAATTAATCATTATCTCTAAAAAAAATGTTAATGCAATATTCACTCGCAAAAAAAAAAAAGAAAAAAAAAAAGAAC